ATTTTAGTTAGTTGGAAAAAGAATTTGATTTTTGAAGGGTAAATCAAATTCTTCCAAAGTTTAAAGGTCAAGTCAACTTGAATTCTTATGGCTTTCTAAATTGATAAAAATGATCAATTAGTTGGTCTGTGATATACATTCTTTCGAAGCTAAATGTTGGACATAGAAACAATCCATTTCAATGTACGAATATCTAAGAAGGCTCTCAAAATGTAAAACTCTCAGCTGGTGAGATATATAGGTAGTGTGTTTTTAGCGTTCGATTCTAATAAGGATAGGAATAAAACATCAGCACATCCACCATAAAACTTTAGGATTCAAATTTTACGATTTCAGCCAAATAACAATATTAGGTAAGATTTTGGATATTACAATTACAGCCATCATTTAATTGCTTCTTAAAAGGAAAATTTTTAATTTTTTATAAAGGGTATAAAAGTCTATCAACAGTTCTAGGATATTTTCGTTCATCAACATTTAGCGTTTTAGTATTAGTGCTTTTATGATAAATAGATTAAGTAGCAAATATGCCGAACACCTTGACTGGGAACTAGAGTTTGTTTGGTGATGTGTTGAAATAAAAACTCGGCGACTTCGATTTACATGTATCACTTGGTTATCACATATGGGTCACAAGATGAGTTTTTTCTTTTACCTTTCTCGGTAGAGATGTAGTTTATACGTTATAGTTCTCTAACCATTATAAAGTTTGCTCTGGAGATCATCATGCCTTATTTAATTCATTTTTGGTCAATTAGTTAACTGAAGGTATATTTTTTCCATATGATCAATGTTTCAGGCTCATCAGCTGTTGAGTGGTCACAAGATGCAGATTTTCGTAATTGGATTGACCGGAAAGCTCTTGATGGGGGTGAAAGCAATGACAGCAAAAGATGGCCATCACTGCCATATTCTTCTGCTGCTCACCTTTTGGAATCAAATACTTTGTACAGGACTTCCTCATACCCTGAGCAACAACAGCAACATGAATATCAACAGCAAACCCCGAACCACCACTACTCCAGTGAGCCAGGACTCATCCCAGAATTGCCTTTCACTTCATTCCCTCCTAGTGCAAGGCATCCACAAGCTTCCGCAAATAACCAATTACGGAACCCAAATGGTCCAAATCATCCCGGTGGACAGCAAATGCCAGTTTCCTCTCCTAACTTTTCTCCCTTCTTAAACACTGCAAATCAATTAACTGCCTCACATCTTGGCCCGCAGTATGGTGGAAAGTTTGCTCAGGGCACACCTCCTGGGCTTCCCCTTCATAATCAAATTCCAAGCCAATGGTTGAAGCAATCTACTTTATATCCGGGGGAGCAATCAAGCATGACCAGTAATATGATTACCCAGCAGTCACATCGCCAAAATGGTTTCGCGCCACCACATGGGGGGCTGCAGCTACCCCAGCAACCTGGCCAACAGCACCCCTTGCATCCACCCTATGGCCGTTTGCCAGGGTTGCAATCTCAACTGTTTAATCACCATATGTCTCCACCCTCGCAGATGATGAACAATTTTGATATGCTTGGGTTGGCTGATTTAAGAGATCAAAAGGCAAAACTAATGCTGAGAGGCAGACAGGGCATGCATTACCCTCAACTAGGTTTTGACGTTAGTAGCCAGAGAAATGTTAGCGCATGGCCAAGATTTAGATCCAAGTACATGTCAACAGATGAATTAGAGAATATTCTTAGAGCACAGCTGGCTGCTACCCATAGCAATGATCCTTATGTTGATGATTATTATCACCAAGCTTGTCTGGCCAAAAAGTCTGCTGGTGCAAAGTTGAAGCACCATTTCTGCCCAAATAATTTGAGGGATGGTAGTGCTCGAGCTCGTGCTAATACTGATCCACATCCTTTTCTCCAGGTTGATGCTCTTGGAAGGGTTGCTTTCTCTTCTATTCGCAGGCCCCGCCCGCTTCTTGAAGTTGATCCACCAAAATCATCTGCTACTGGATGCATTGAACAGAAAATGTCTGAGAAACCTCTGGAGCAAGAGCCAATGCTAGCAGCTAGGGTGACTATTGAGGATGGACTCTGTCTTCTTCTTGACGTTGATGATATTGACCGGTTCCTACAGTTTAACCAGGTTCCAGATGGAGGAGATCAGTTGAAACGCAGGCGGCAGGTTCTGCTTGAGGATTTGGCCTCATCACTTCAGCTAGTTGACCCCCTTGGCAAAAGTGTCCACACTGTGAATTTGGCTGCTAAAGATGATGTTGTCTTCTTGAGGATTGTCTCACTTCCCAAGGGCCGGAAACTGCTAGTACGGTACCTTCAGCTTCTTTTCCCTGGAAGTGAACTGACCAGGGTGGTTTGCATGGCTATTTTCCGTCATCTAAGGTTCTTGTTTGGTGGGCTTCCAAGTGATCATGGTGCAACTGAGACTACTGTGAACCTTGGAAGGACTGTGTCACTGTGTATTTGTGAAATGGAGCTCAAAGCACTTGCTGCCTGTCTTGCATCAGTGGTTTGTTCAGCAGAGCCTCCTCCACTCCGTCCCGTTGGAAGCCCTGCTGGAGATGGGGCATCTGTTGTTCTAAAATCTATTCTTGAGAGGGCGACTGAGCTCTTAAGAGATCCCCATGCTGCTGGCAAGTGCAGCATGCCTAATAGGGCATTCTGGCAGGCCTCGTTTGATGCATTTTTTGGGTTACTCACAAAATACTGTTTCAGCAAATACGACACTGTAATGCAATGTTTCTTGACACAAGGCCCACCGGATGTGGCTGTCAGTGGATCTGATGCAGCCAAAGCTATTAGTAGGGAGATGCCTGTTGAACTTTTGCGTGCGAGTCTTCCTCACACTAGTGAACAACAGAGAAAGGTCCTGTTAGAATTTGCACATAGGTCTATGCCTGTGCTGGGTGTTGGTAGCCAAAGTGGGGGAAGTGGTGGTACATGATTTTTATTGGAGATTGATATCAACTATTTGATGTTCCCTTGAAGATTGTCATGAGGTATGTCAAAACGCGCTGGTTCATGGATTGCTTTCCTCGGCACATATGGTGTTTATGACAAAACATTGTTGGAGTTGCAGGACATGGAGTCGGATCATCTGTAGTATTCTGGTCGGAGAGCAAGAAACTTCATTCTCGTTTAGACATGGATGTGGTCATCCCTGTTGGTACTGTGCTGCTTCAGACAAAGTTGTGAAGTAGGCTGTTGCTGTAATATGTTCTAGTTTTCTTTTTAATCTGGAGTTTTATCGTATGCTGTTTTCTCATCCATGATAGTCCTATGTTCTGAGGGATTTTTAGTATAACTTTGTACAGTATTCAACTAGAGAAAACATTCAGCTTCTAGTTTTGGAGGATATGGGGAGGAATTTGTTATAAGTTAAAAATGTTTGATAATTATGTGAATGAATGTTGAAGCTTTGGAACAGTTGATGGTGGGTACCATGTTCCAGCTTATGCTATAAGAAAATATTCAAGAAGTTGAATATGAGGGGAGTCTAGTTATTACCTGTGAGATTGATCCTAGGACAGGTATTCAATTTCAAGGTGCAAATTGGTGAGCTAAATCTCAATTCATTGCCTTTTGGTTACTTAAGAAAGCACTAGCAAGAGGTAGCACTTAATGTTTTGCCTTGAGCCTGAGATATTCAGAGACTAGAGAAGTCGTGACTAATATCAAATATAGCTAGGGAAGACAGTTTTAACAGAAAATAAAATCCTCAGTCTGTAAAATAGCGTGCGGGGCTTTGGTTTAGTGGCAAGAGCATAGTGCCTTGTTTTAGTGGTAAGAGCATAGTGCGTGATGTGTTGGTTAGGTATATCTTACGAGTTTGAACCCTGGTATTGATGAAAGCCTGATATTTAAGCGGAGAAGAGTAGAGGGGTGGACCATTACTTACTGAGTTTATAATTTAAAGGACATCACATCAGCTTTTGTTGCAGTCACCAGATTAGCACTTTCAACTTGTATTCTCCAGATGAAAAAAAGTCATCTGCCACTTGTGTATTAACAGGGTATAACGTGCCCCTTAAAAATAGGAACTTTGTGTTATGAAATTATAAAATAATAATAATAATATAGTAGGGGGGGAAAAGAGGATAGACAAGACTTCTTATTTCCCTTGGAAATAATTTACAGTGAAGAGGCTTGTACACGTTTTTATAGTACTCCCCTTTGAATCTAATTGATAGATAATGTATCTAGTTAAAATTTTGCTAGCAATAGTTAGAATAAAATAAGTCAATATCGATAGTCCTTTTTAGGTATCACAATGCGTTTGATCCCATTTCAATGTCTCCAGTAGGAAAAGAATTATACCTTGCTTACAAATTAATCGAAAAGGTTATAACATGCCTTGTAATGTTAGAAGGATACATTAGTGCATCAATTGCAGTAGGATATATAAGGTACTTCAAGATAAACAATCTTGTCATTTTGTTTTGAGGTCGGAATGAATTCTTATTCATATCAAGTGATTGAACAATCATGATAAAATCTTTTCAACACCTTTTTTTTTTGTATATGCAGATTGAGCCAAATTCTCAATTTACAAATGATTTTGTCCTTTTAAGATCTTTCTTCTCAAATTCGTTCTTTAAATAATCACTTATCTTTGAAGCTCTATTGGAGTGCCAATAAAGTTTATGCCGTCATCATAAACAAGAAGTATGACAAACTTCAATGTATATTTTTCTTTATTAAAACATATGGACAAATTACATCATTTTTATAACTTTTTTTTTAAAAGTAGTCACTAATTAAGATGGTTGTATCGCATGTGTTCAAATTACTTCAAATCATACAATAGTCTTTTTACAATCTAATTGAATACTTTTTTCAAAATTTTGAACTATATACTTTCGACATATTAAATTCTTCAGAAATAGCATGTAATTAATTATTTATGAGATTAAAAATGAGAGAACCTTTTTATTTCCTATGACTTTATTGATAACATATGGTGGCTACTTTTAGCTGTCAATTGTTTTAAAGGTAGTTGAAGCAAAAGGTTATAATGATATAAATATCCACAACTTGTAAATTACGATACATACATATTAATTAAGAGGCCAAAAAGTTCTTTTTAGTACAAAATATTATCAACAAGTTATATATTTCACAGAATAGGCCAAAATACAACTTAAGTGCTGATGAGATAATAATTTCGATAGATATCAGAGTAAATTCGATTCTTCGATTCAATTACTTTTTCAGTTTCATTATCTACTGTGCCAAAGCACTTGTGTTGTAGACTAGCAGAGCACCTCCCGCAAGAAGTCCAACTAACGTTACTGCCCAAAGGGCTAAGCCAGTGGTACCTGCAATAATAAAAGCTTAAATTATATACACTGACAATAATATATATATATATATTTTATATTATCAATGCAATATAATATGTTATTATATGTTTATATATCATTTTATTTGCTAAATTATTTATCATGTTCGATATAAAGAATCAGCTGAAATCTTCATAAATATCACTATAATGTGCCTCTACTAACAAGTTAGAGTGAGATTATTTAGCTTTAAAACAAGAAAAGTTTTTTTTTTTCCAAAACATATAATATACATGCATACATACATATGCTAGTTATCATACATTCATACCCTATCATGTATATACATACATACACATACATCTTAGATATCATGCATGCATACATATATACATACGTCATATTCTAGTCACGGGTTATAGTTGTATTGAGTCTCAAATAATTGAAGTTGGATCATGGGTCCTCAATTAGGGGTCATGGATCGAGTCTCGAGTCTCAAGTCTCGAGTGCCGAATTGAGGCTCAATTTCAATGTGTCTCGGGTCAAGGTCGGGGCGCTCTCATTTTTTTTTTGTTTTATACAATCTTTGTATTGTGGATTATAGGAAGAAATTAGGTTTATCAAAATTAAAAGCCTATATCAATAATTATTATGATTTGTAAAATATTGTTATGTTACATAATAATTTCGAAATATTATAAGTTTCCCTTGTAATATGCTAGCATAATTTGATAATGCGCAGAATATAAAACTCAAATAATAATAATAATTGAAAGTCATACCGCCAACATAGACATCGCCACTTGGGGACCATTCATCCGGGTTATAGATAGGACTGCATTTTAATTCAAGTAATATATAAATTAATTAATACTACATCTCCAGAGTAATTTATGAAATGTCAATTTCATGCGGATTACTAGCTCTGTCCTTAATGAGAAGTAATAATCAAATTAACCAACCTGTATATCCATCAACATTAGCTCCATATTTCTTCACGAATTGGTAAACACCCTTTCCCTATACATAGCAACAATAGATTTTCACAAAATGTCAATTATGGAACTATTCATCATGAAAATTGAGTCTTTTAAAGAAAATATTTTGACGTATTAAATATACAACTTTTAGAAATTCCTTCGTACCAAATATACTCATAGTAATTTTTTTTCTTTGACATAAGACCGGTGTCAAGATGAGAACAAACCTTGGCCTTCCTGCCAGAGGCATCAACACCATCTTGCAAGTTCAAGCCTCCATTAATTCCTAATTTACACACCAATTGTGTTAACAATGATCATCATATATATATATGATTGCATGATCTTTTAATAAAAATTGCTAATAACATAATTATTATTTATCATAATTAACATCATTAGAATTTTTAAAACTATTTTTGATCTCATGAAAGTAATTAACTTTAGCAATCACTAAATTTTATCTGTTAATTATAACGACAAAAATCTCTCTCCAAGTTGATGTTACTACTAGAGTAAGACATTTTCTTTTTAATTTGATGTAGGAGAATGAGAAATAGTTGGAATCTTTTAAGGTGGGGCACACGTTTATGGTCTTGTAACTTTATGTTTCAAGGTCAATTAATCTCTAGATCAAGTCCTAACTAGAAATATGTATCTTAACAGAAGAAGAGAAAAATCATTTATATTCGAAACTCTCTTTCCTTCCTAGCTACTATAACTAAAAAGTGCAACACTTACTCGAAAATGAAGGGCATCAATCCAATAAATGTATGCCATAGTCAGATATTACAAGATAGAGAATTAAATCCTCAGAAGAGTCGAAAATTTATATAACCAACCAACTGAACCATTAATTTTTTTTAAAAAAGTAAAGTAAAGATTATTATTTTCTCTGACTTTGCATATTATACTATAGGGTAAAACTAAGTGAGAGGAAGCTAAGAAAGACATACCATAAGGCTTATTGGTGGTAATCTTCTTTCCCCCACTGGCCTTCACTATCAATTTGGAGTTTGAAGGCCTTGCTATTGATGCCTTTTCTACTCTTAAGAGAGAGGGTTTAAGGCTAAATGAACTCATCATCATCACTCCACTACTTGCCATATAGTATACTCTTTTATTTGCTAAAAAGTTATTATTTTTCCTAAAACTTTGCTTGACGTTTGTTTTAATTTGCTCAATGATTCGTTTATGTATAGGAGTAGAAAAAAACACACAATTGACCATTCATTACACGTGGCGTTATTTGACTTGTGTATGTGATTATTATTATCATAATTGTAATTAGCATCTAGCATGTTCCACATACTTCTAGTTTGCTATGTTCTAGTTTTGTATAGTTGGAATTCACTCATTGGATTGGCAGCCTTTCAATTGAGGGACCTATTATATACTCAATCACTTTTTCAAACAGGAAAAATAAATGAAAAAAAGAAGAAGAGAGATGCACGCATTGTTTAGGTTCTTTTTGAATAAGAAAGACAAAAAATAATAACCCCTAATTAATGATGATGCTTTACGATAAATAATAAACTTATTAGGTCTCACATTCTGAAATACAAATACATAGAAGAGAGGCGAACGAGAGGGAGGAGAGGTGAGCAAGATATATTGGAGAGTGACAAACGAGAAAGTCAGTGTATTCTAGATACATGCGAATCCATTTGGGTACAATATATTTAAAACAAATTACACATAATTTTGACCTCATGAGTCTGAGGGTACATGTATTTGAACCCGCCAGATACATGTATTTCGAGACTAAAAATCAGATACAAAGATACATAATTTGACTCTATATATGCTATTTGTGTTGTTTACCATTATATATACTAATTTCATAGGCACGTGTACCCCATTTAATAATAAATATTATAGAAAAAATAAAACTTAACTATGAACTTTGTCACTCAATTCGTTGTAGCTAAGAATTCTTTTTAATAATTCATTACAGATTCGTCACTAAACAAAATTAGTGATAAATTTTACTGTTTAACTTTGTATCAATAATTCATGTATTTTTAATGGTGAAATTACTTTTACTAATATACAAGAGACTATAGAGAATTTTCATTTGTTAGAAAAAGTGTAACAAGTAATAAAATAATAACAATTCATTTAGAATATCTTTGATTTTTACAATTGGCTCTCCCAACAACCAACAATAATTGGCTCAACATTCTTAATACCTAGCCTTCTCACTTAATTGGGGACCCTTTGAAATCGAAACAGACTCCACTGAGGTTTTACAATTTCTTGATCATGCACTTCCACCATATGAATGTATTATCCTTCAATGCAGGTCTGTTGAAGAAGTTGCAGAATCCAATGGTCCGACATAGCTTTTTCAGACAGGGTTAACTACGTAGCAGATATACCAGCTAAGCAAGAATCCCGGCTGACAATCTATGACAAAGCTATCTTTTTGCAATCTCCACAAGCAGTGGCGGATCCAGGATTTTCACGAAATGGGTTCAAGATATAAAAAATAAAACCCAAGATTTTCACGAAGTGGGTTCAAGATATAAAAAATAAAACCCAAGATTTTCACGAAGTGGGTTCAAGATATAAAAAATAAAACCCAAGATTTTCACGAAGTGGGTTCAAGATATAAAAAATAAAACCCAAGATTTTCACGAAGTGGGTTCAAGATATAAAAAATAAAACCCAAGATTTTCACGAAGTGGGTTCAAGATATAAAAAATAAAACCCAAGATTTTCACGAAGTGGGTTCAAGATATAAAAAATAAAACTAAAATGTGGCAACAGGGATTCGAGCTTGGGCTGGCTGGGAAAATTGAACCCTTTTCACCACTCTACCAAGGGTCACACTTGTGTTAGTGGGTTCAAAAGTTAATATATACAT